CAAGTCATGGGGTGGAAAAGTTCCAATTGCCCATTTTTTGTTAGGTCTAAAATTGAGTTGGTGCCAAAAACATCTGGGTGTTGTGTTGGTGGTGGCTGCACAACAAAAGGATACCCTGCATGCACGTACGTCGTCAAATGGTATATTTGACTCTAAATTTCATTCAAAACCCTCCCCAATACACCAAAAAAGTTGACATCATGTATAACTCTGGTGCTATATACAAAGTTATTGTTTACTTTATATATAACTCTCTAGAGTTAAAAGTGGAACCTCCATTTTGGGAGATACCAAAATTATGTTTAGCTCTAAGATTGACTGTCCATCTCTAATGCATAAGAGTTAGAAGCTAAAAGTAAATTCTGACTTTATATGTTGATTTGCACCAATGCATTTGGAGTCAAATATAACTTTATAAATTTTAACTTTAGCCTTTTGGATTGGTGATAACTAAGTCCATTGTTTGTTTCACTCTAATAAAAAAGGTCCTTTTTTTTTTGGAAAATTACACATAAAATTTATATTTTCTTTTCAAAAGTTACACACAAAAATTTATATATCCTTATGTAAGGTAATTAATATGCTTGTAAAAATGTCAGATGAGTAATATTTTTGTGATACTTGTTGGAAAATGGACTCTAATTACTATTTTAGTCATATATAAAAATAATAAATCATTTATGCAACTAAATGCCAAATTTAATGAATGCTCATAGTGAAAAATAATGTCAAATGAACATGAATATGGATTAGAAAAATCTGAAAATTAGTCAAGGCAAATGTTAGACATTTTTTTAAGACAAGTTTACGTTCCACTATGGTGCTCATGGCTGATTGAGGTGTATCTCCAGAATACGACCATGTCCTTGTAGAAGTAGTACTCCAAATCACAAGGTTCTAATGAACCACAATTGTTTTGAATACTTTCTCATATAGACTCATTTAGAGACTACAAAACTCTCTAACATTAGTGCACTATGTGTATGAATATGTGAATGTAAAAGTGATTTATGCCTATAGGGTGGCCTCCTAATTTATAAAAGTTGACACTGATGTCTCTTTGCAAAGTATGTGATCATTCATGAAAAATGTAAAGTTGCAACAGTTCATATTAAAAATATACACATCTTTTCACCAAACGCACCACTTCTAATTTCCTATATCAATTAACAAAATTTAATATTATAGTACAATAATATTAAATTTTTCCAGCAATACTTTGATGCAATTAAAAATTATGTGTTTCGATTATATGTCCTCTTGTTCTTATGTTTCAATCTTGATTATGCTAAATAATGGTGCTATAAGATGACTATATACATTTTCGAATTCTTGTAATGATTTTTGGGAGTCCTTAAAAAACCAGACTCAAATAAATCCATATGAAGAGTTTAGGGACCATTCCGATGGTTTGCATCGGGGGCCCAAAATTTCATGACCAGTCATCTTCTGCGTATACTTTTTTAACAAACGATAGTATCTTCATTAAAGGTGAGGGAGTAGAGTAAGCCTTACAATAAGTTAGCAATAATGTGGTTCAAATTCGTCTTAACAATAATATGGTTCAAATTCGTCTTAGCAATAATGTGGTTCAAATTCGCATTTGCCGATAATTGAACCTAAAATCTCTCATTTACAAGTAAAAATGAGTATCACTAGACTATTGCGAGTAGTCTCTTTTTTTTGTTTAAAGCACTAATTACTTACCATAAATAAGAATTATAATCATTTTGATCCATCTACATTTATTAAAATAGGCTTCTGCTTTTGCTTACTTGTTAGAAATAGGGGAAGTGCAAGTTTTTTATTAAAATCCGTAATCAAATACCGAAAATACGGAATCAGATTAACTTGTTGTTTGGATTCTCTTTCCTTGTCTTATTTTTAAGTTTTCCACTTCGTTACTTTTCTCATTTATGATAAGTAAACATGTCTGAAATCATGAGTAAGATTTTTAGTTGTTTGTAAACATTTGAACACTCGAATCGGTAAAAATCTTGTAATATCAATCCAACAACATGTGCTCGTTGGGTATTCCGAAGTGCATATCCTGTATCAGTATGAGCCACTCAATTCTGGTATAATTGTCACCTAATACTATGATTAAGTTATTGTAGATTTGAATCTTGTGAATGACAAAGTTTGATTCCAATTTAATCTTCTTCCTTCGGTGCAAAGAGGAATGCTGGGCCGCGAACAAGTTGAAGTTGATAAAGGACCAGGGTCAAAATGTTTTCTTGGGCTTGGAAAGGCCCAAAATGAACTGGGCTAAAAGGCTAAAACGGTAGTTTTGTTTTACTTTTGTTAGGATAATAATTAAGTACTCATTTTTTAGATTTCGGTCAATAAAATTTTAACATCTGTTTTATTGTTTTAAAATGGGTGATACTATCTGCATACTTATTTTTACCTCTTTATATATATGTTGTTAGTTTCTTTCTTTGATCTTTTTAATTTATTAAATTCGACGGCCGAATATTGAATGGATGTGTGGGAGGCAATAAGGGGTGTGTGGATAACACCACTCTTAAAAAAATAGTGCATATGTTATTTAATTTTTCTTAGACTTTTTCTTTTGATTGGGACAACTTAGAAAGTGAGTATTTATGGTACTCACTAGTGAGTACATACGTATTATCCATTTTGTTATAATCGTTGGCTAAAATGCTATTAATGACAAAATTCTATGGTACCACTGTTGAAATTGTTTTTTGAGTACATCGATCGATATTTTTACACTAGGGAGAGAGGAATTTCGGCTAAACCACATAATGGGCAGCCTAATTTGGTATCAAATTCGTCATCCACGAGATTCATACCAAAGACTTCTCACTTCTAAGCAAAAATGAATACAACCAGACCATAATACTAAGTGGCATGTACTACTATTGAAATTTATTAATTTATTTTTTGTTTTTCCATTCCTATGGTAGTGAGGGTGGGTAGGTGATGAATAACAGGTACAGTATTGGAAACTCTCCAATGGTACAGTAAAAGGCGTGGGAAGTTTCGAACTCAAGAATGGTTGCAAGATCAAGTCCTATCCATCAAGATGGAGTAGGATTATCTCCTTTTTTTTTTCTCTCCCTTTCCCTCTCCTCCTATTTGAACAATCACGGTTAAGTCACGTCATTATCTTATATTAATTTTTTATAAAAAGAGAAAGACAAAATAAAAAATGTGAAGAGGAGATGGAAGGGGATAGAAAGAGGAGGGAGATAATCATAATCCCGAAATATCTCGAGTTCAAAACACTTGGATAGCAGTTTTTTAGTTGAAAACACTTGGGTTGTTTCAGTCCTCTATATTTTCATTCTATCTATTAACCATAAAAAAAAAAAAAAAAAAATACAAGCTAAAAACCTAAAAGTGAAAATGTTATTCGACATGCTCTAGAAAGGAAAGAGATCCTCTTCCACCAAGGTTATCGGATCAAGTCATTCGGGCCTTTGAAATTTCATCCAACAGTAAAAAATTATTATAGCTTTTAAGGGATCAAAATAGGTGGGCCATTGGATAAAATTTCAAAGACTCAGATTACTTGATCCGATGGCCATGGTGGAAGAGATCAAAAGAAGATCTCTTTCCCTCTAGAAAATCACTCTTAGACCATATCCAATCCATGAGATAAAATTTAAAATATAAGCTTTAAACCCCTGGAGAAAATATATCTTTGGGTTAGATTTTCCAACATTTAAGTTTATAATCCAACGGTTGTGATCAAATGTGATCAAATCTAATGGCAAAAAAAAAGATTTGACGGGCAAAATTAAACCTGTCGCCTTAAATGATTATTTAATAATCTCAGGCTAAAATGATTATTTAATAATCTCGGATTAAAAAATTAGACTATAATCATTATTTAAGAGTTTAAGGAAAAAATAGTTTTTGGGTTATGACTTAAAATTTTGCTAGCTTAAATTTTTAAGCTTTATCCGCAAGGTTAAAGATGGTCTTTAAGGGGTGGTTTGGGAGTGAGGTGCTTAAAAAAAACACCCATGAAAAAAAGATGTGAGGGTTTTAGGTGTTTGGTAAACTAAAAAAAAAGGTTTATTTTGGAAGCTGCTATGAGAAGAAGCTGAAATCAAAGGAAAAAGCTGAAATTGCTATTTGCAGCTTTGAAAAACTGGTTTTTTTTCAAAGCACACGGAGCTACAGTGCTCCTTTAATGAAAATACCCACTATCAGACTGTTTTTTTTTCTTTTCCAAAAGCACTTTTACAAAAAAGTTTACCAAACACTCTGCTGATTTATTTCATAGCCACTTATTCTCACAGCACAGCCGCTTATTCTCACAGCAGTTTTTTTTTCAAAGCACAGTCGGTTTTAGGTGATCCACAAAAAGAAAGACCTATATTAAAGGTCTTATTATACGCTACTTAATAAATCAATAAATTACAATTTAACGGTATTCTAAATTAATAATGTCATTTTTCGCAAAGTTAAAAAAGTACAAATATATTAGAAACAAACAGATCACTCACTGACTATAAATTTCATGTCTCATGCTCTTCCACGAAATCATGAGGAATGCAGCATAAAACATTATGTAAAATATAAAAAGACAGAAAAGGGGCAGACTGGTAAGTCAATGTCAACAGCAGAGAAAGCAGAAAGTTGAAGGGTGAAAGTTTCACTAGTTTAATTGACAGAAACATGACTCTCCAGACTCTATTACAAAAGAAACATCAAACATGCTGAGTAATAACATAATGCCCCTACTTCATATCATAAAACGTTGTATAGGAACATCCGTATATGGAGTGACTCACATAACAATTGAGCCTTACGTGTGTATCTCACATATGCTCATTCTTTGTGTGAGTGTCGTCGTATAACCTATATACAAGATTTATGATCTCTACATTATAGCATACAAGTTTATACCTAAAATTGACCATGAAAAGTAGAAAATAGCCATAAAAATAATATTGAAAAACACATAATATTACCAAATTTAATAATAAGATATACAGAAACTTATCAAATAGGTAGAAAATTAACCAACTCTTAGCACAATATATATATTAGTTCACTCCACAGTGAACTTATTCAAATTAACTAGTTCAGATGCCAAACCCAACATAAATTGAGCAAGTCATAAATCAGTCTATAACAAAGTAAGTTATGCTGATAGAAACTTATTCCATGGCTAATTAAAACAAAGAAAACATCACGTCTTCCGGAGACGATCGAACAAAGCGATCGAGAACTCTCTACTTTCCAGCCTCAGCCTGCTCATCTTCAGACATTTCACGCTCCAGCTGTGGGGAAAAAAACAAGAAGATTAGAAGATTCGTGGGAAGTCAATTACCATGAAAATTAGTGTGTATCTCTGTACTTGTCCAGTCTAGAAATTATCAGTCAATGTATGTATTTATTTTTTATCATATGCACGATAAATATGACATCTACATAAGGCGTTGAAGAAACAAAAACATTAATTATCCTATAGCATATAAGCTGAGAAGAGATCAAATTAGTTAAAAATTATATGTTTAGTACCTTGGCAATGCGAGTCAGATGCTCCTTCGTGGCATAATATTCAGTCTTGAGGCTCTCAAAAAGTATCGGGCACCTACAAACACAACACCTTCCTTAGACAAGAATTTGTATAAAGGGTGGTGTTTCTATAAAACCATACATACATAATTTGAAATTAGGGACACTTTAAATAAAACCCATAATTTATGGGATTAAAAATAATAAAATATAAATTATACTCTCTATTATACTGTGTGTGTGTATATACACATATATGTATGGGTACATTAACCAAAATTAACAAAAAAAGTTATTGTACCAAAACATGGATACATTCTCAAATCAACGAAAAAGAATGTACTCATATAAGTTTAAACATGGATTAAAAAATTTGAATGGATTTTATATTAAAAAAAGGGTACATTTTACATATAACAAATTGATATATTTGAGAATGGGTACATTTAAGATTAAAAAAATTGAAAAATTATATGAATAGGTACATTTAAGATTAAAAAACTGAGAATCTTTTTATATATAAAAAAAAACTAATAGGTACAAACTTAATTTAATTTAATTTTTTATTATTTTGGAAACGTTTGAATTGAAAATTAATTAGAAGTTCAATAGAGGTGTGAGTATTAAACCCTAAATTAATTACTAATTTTTATATTAAAAAATTATATAATAAACATGTAAATTCATTATCACATTAATGCTAAGGACTTGAATCAAAATTTGAGAACTAATAAGGTCTTAGTCAATGAACAGTAAAAACTAGGGACCAGATACTAATTTTTCCTTGAAATTACCATTGTTCTGAAAGAAAAAAATAGAGAACTTATAATCGTCTAAGAGACGAAGGCAATATATTACTCTAAATAATTGACGAAGAATTTGAAATTTTGTTGGTTGTGGAAATTGAAAACATGTTTTGTTCCCTCAAACTTGGTTATATATGTCGAAGAACATGATCAGCTGATCATTAAACATGTTAATTAGAAGCTTAATTAAGTGCTGATGTGTGTGTGTGTGTCTGTATATATATATATATATATGAATGATATGATATGATATATGGTGAGGGAACAAAGTCTTACTCTTCTTTGTTGTTTTCTGAAGCACATGTATCCCAGAGGTCTTGCGAGTAATTGGCCAACCGAGTACAACCGTAACTGTAAGTCCAAAATTAACGCATCAATCTTAGCTAGCTTTTGAGTTTGATCAAAGCAAAAGGTTATTATATAATGCACAACAAAAAATGGAGAGGTGATGAAAATTAAATTTTTTATGATCATGATCTATAAATTATCTGCGGATGCATGGTAATCAGTGGCAAAGCCAGAATTTCTTGTGAGGAGGGGCCTCACACAAGTATAGAAAAAGAAAAAAACAAATAGTGGTTATAAAATTATGAATGCAAAAACATCATAAAAATATTCAAATAATTAAGTAGTCAAAATTAACATATGCAGAGATAATTTTATATATTTATAGTAATCATAATTATTCTTGACAAATTTCATATTTTAAAACCATTGCATGATGTCTTCTATACTACTGAAAAAATTATTAAAATTAATGGAAAGAATTACTAAAAATTGCAAGCCCTAAAACTCAAGTAAGGTGGGATAGAATAGAAACAAATATTTTATAGAGAATAATAGAGTTTTACAAACCTTATTTGTCCTTTATTCAATAAGTTTGGGATTTGGAATGACTAAATATATGAAATTCAAGAAGAATATGGGGAATAGCTCTGCCAATGCATGAGTAAAAGACAATTTTATTAGTTAAAAATGAATGATGGGTTTTAATTTACGAGTTTTATTGATTTGTAATAAATGACCATTTGAAATATTACTCTTAATTCTAGGATGGGATTTGGATGAAAAGATAGATAAATAATTAGATAAGTGTTGAGAAGAGTTGCAAAGCAATAGAAATAGGTGTAATACTAATTTTGTTTTTTCAAGTCAGGGTAGGCTTAGGACTACTCTAGTCCTCATGTGGCTCCGCCAGTGATGGTAATAATATTTTTATTTAAAATTTTACTTATGTAGAAGCTTTATAAATTAATGCACTATATGTGATTCAGTTTAGATAGATCTTAGACACCAAATATCTTTTTCACAAGCATATTATTTAAGAACACACACATATATCATACACGAAACAGCTTAATATGAAATTATTAGCAATCAATTACGTACGTCTCGGCACATTCCTTGATCTTCTGGGAGAAATGTTGCACCATGGCATAGTTGGCATTAGCCTCACTCCTAAAATTGAATTTTCTCCAATCAATATATAAATAATGTAAAAACACTTGATTATTCTTAAAGGAAATGGTGAAGGAAATTACAGATTTGGTGCGAGCTCTTCTATTTTCTTTTCAATAGTAGTAAAGAACTCAGCGAAGAGATCTTCGTAAGGGCGAGGATCCTTTTCTTGTAACGCTTCCATGTCACCAAAAAAGTCTTCAAAAATGCCCTGCAGGAAGCATGGTTGATAATTAGTCTATAAAATTCCTATGCATGTGTTCAAGGCGAAACTGCGGTGGGGAATAATTGAGAAAAAGTATAAAAAAGTGGCAGAGAAAGTGAGTGTAAAATTTGAAATTAAATTACTGTAACACTTACATTGTTTAAAAGCAATAACTACAGCCTCTTTATTGCAGAGAAAGTAAGTGAGTGTTTAAACCCTTCTTTGATATCATAATCTTTATTCAAGTAATCGAAAAGACTACTTGATACACAACTAACATTATCATATGTTTTTTTCTTTCTCTGTTACATTAAAACTGAGAATATTGACCTAAGTCACAAAAAAAAAAAAAAAAAAAATCCAAACCACTGACCTAACGTTGAACATATATAGATTATCTGAAATTTCATATCAATAAAATATACTCTTTCCCAAGTTAATTAAACAAAAAGAAAAAAAAAAATAGATTAAGTTTGTTTCTTAATAAAATATATGCATTTCATTAAGGGAGACACAAACATCCATATAATCTTGCAACGGATGGAAGAAATTATAACATCAAACTCCAAACAATGACTTAAAAAGATAAATTAATCAAAATAAACATAAGCAGATCCATTAGCAAATAAACGGAATAAAGAACTAATGGGGTGAAGTGAACGTAATTACTCGTTGTTCCAAGGAGCCGACGAGTAGCTCGAGCTCTCGCTCAGCCATTCTCCAAGTAGAGAGAGAGAGAGAGAGAGAGAGAGAGATTAAAGGATGGTAATGCTGTCTCGAAAGAGAAATATGCATGCATGATTTTATAGCCTCAGACTGAGATTCATGTTGTTTTCATGGTTCATACGATGTCTGAGTGGTCAATTCGTATGGTAGAGAGTTTTGCATGTATTCGGTTTTCATGAGCTTCGCGCTGTCTGATCGGCTACTTTCTTCATTTTTGACCAACTACGATTGTCAAGTGGGGACCGGTTCAACCAAAACCCGGCGGACCCGAACTATGAATTTTACTTCATATATGGGCTGGTCTCATACCAAGTACTAGTTCGGTTTGGGCTGATAAGTTATCTTTTGGGCTAAGGTAGAAACTTGCCCGAATTAGTGCCTGCTTGGAATTTGAAGCACACGACCTCTATATGTTTCTTAATGAATGCGTGGCTGGAATAAAATCTCATTGTTACTCAATCTTCTACAACTTTGATCAATATAGTACTTTGTTACTTTGATTTGTTATTTATGGTGTAAAATTACCATGTAGATTAGTATATATTTAAGTCTTTAATCTCGGATGGGTTAAATGCTTAGACGCTTCATTCAAATCTTCCTCTTATTGTTCGTCATTCTTTGCATTTGTATGGTGTACTATGTTGCTAAAAGCATATCTTATGTAAAGATTTCCATTCTTAAAGGGGTGCATTGTGTATGGATTTAATGGAGTTTACCTGATTAAAAAACTCAGGTGTATTCTGAATCAATAAATCACATTGTATTGAAAAAAGGAAAAAAAATCCTTTTTATGACTTCTAAAAAGTCTCTAAAAATCTTGTGGTATTCCATTATAACTTTCTACAAATCTACAAAAGTTTAGGTGTATTCAAAAGTTCATTGGTTTTAAAGGATGTTAAAAAGTTATGGACTTTCACTTTTTATGCTATATTTTATGTCATAGCAAATCCAAACTCTCCCTATAAGATTTTGATGGACTTTCATAAACTTTGATACTCCACCACCCACCATAATGCAATGAGGATTACTATTTCCACTTCCATCACACCATGTCTAACCATGACCATCCCCACTACCATGTTGCTGCCATCGCCACTATTGTTGCAACTGTCATCACCACTGTTGGACCATCATATCACTTCCTCTACCACCACCTTGTCATACTCATAATCATCATACCACAACCTCCTACAATCATCTTTCTGCCGCCATTGACACGACCACCATGATTGCCACCTATATAGTACCACCATGTTACCTTAGTCGTCGACACCACTCCCACCACTATCTTTACTACCATCCCCCCGTCACAGTCCTCATCACCTTAACTTCGTACTGCCACCTTACAAAGTCTTTAAACTCCTTTTAAACTCTACAAAAGTCTTCATTAAACTCTCAAAAATTTGTTGAAGTCTACCATTAAAAAAATTGTAGATTTCATAGAGTTTCTAATAATCAATAAAAGTCTACGAAATCTACAAAAGTCTATCACATAAACAAACCTTTGCAAAAGTCTATAAATTTTGAATATAATGACTAATATAAATTTGGAATGCAATAAACCCCCATCGACCTACATATATTTTGAATTTTAAGATTTGAGAGTATTTACATAGGTTGAGAAACATTGGAGTCAATACCCAAATTTTGAGTTTTGGTAATTTTGAGTATGAGCATTTAATATGATTGGACTTATAACTCAAACTTTATTGATGTGATGTTTGGACCCCAAATACTGGTTTGGGCCGAGTTTAGAATTGTTCTCTGCCCGGAAGCTTTGCTTAGGGGCCGGCCGTGTCCTATTAGGATGAGGTAGTTGAATCCTCATACAATAAGGAGTCTCAGTAGGATGAGGATGCTGAAACTTGGGAATAAATGTGGTCTGATAAAGGGTTGAGTTCAAAGTCCTAATAGGAGTAGGATTGGTCGATATGAGATTGGATCAGGGTAAGGAGTCCTAATCCGAGTATAGTGTTGATTTGATCATAAGCAGGTTTGCTACTATAAATAGAGGCATGAGTGCACCATTCAAGGCCTCTCCAACTCAACACACAAACTACCCTGCGCAAACCCTCGTTATACGTTAAACCTCTCACCAACCTTGAGATTTTTATTTTCTTTTTTCGCCGACACATCTTTAGTTTGGATAAACAGCATTGTGAAGGCAATCGGCGAACACCTTCAGTTTGGATAAACAACACTGTTGCCGTAGAATCAGCCAACCATGGAACACCTTTAGTTTGGATAAACAACATTGCGTCGAGGCCGACTGGTTATCTATCCAAGTTTCGGTCGAGAAGGGTTTGTGAATTCTTATTGGCAGAGGTCATCTCACTAGCCTTCTCGGCGAGGTGAGATGTTACAAGTTACTGGGCTTGACACATTGAACGTCAAGTTGTTTTATGATAGGATATTCGCAAGTGAGTTTTAGAGTTCGGCATTCTGACGGCCGAACCACATTCACCATCAAGACATACATCTCTTTTGAGTACTTGTGTTCGTATAGTTTGATGTCGATTCGGCATGCTTATACTCTTACGAATATAATCATTGTAACCGAATCTGGCGCCGATGATTTGTGAACTTCGCAAAACTAGTAGCCTTGTCTTCAGGCTCCAGAATCCGAAGGCCGAGACGTGTTCCTTCATCGACCGCATTCGCAAGATTCAGAAGTTAGCATTGCACCCAAAGCAACATCAACAAATTTTACTTACCGGCCTAGCTTAGCTGTTGAGTTGGCATGCCCTGCACATAACTGAATGACGTAGTTAGCTTATTAATTACTCGGCATGCGCGCCACGTAGGCTTGGTAGTTTTTAGGGTCAACATTTTGGCACACCCATCGGGACCAAATGCTAAAACTACAAAGTTCATGACCATCGAGACACGATCAGTTAATAAGAAAATAATCATGGGAAAGTCAACGACCGATCTGCCAGTTCAGAATTCTGGACAAGAAGTGTGACATGTGCGAAATCCCCCCATTACTGTGACCTTTGAGGCTACAAGTGTGACACACCAAGAAAAGGAAGTTTGTCTCGGTACCCAACCCCGAAACATAGAAGTACCCAACCGAATATTAGGCGTTTTCATTGAAGGAATAATGAAGGACTACAATGAAGACGGTGGTGAAGGCTCTGACCCTCCAACTAGGTCGTTTCTTCGAAAATGACTTGACGAGCAATCTCAGTAGGTTGAACAGACAGTTATCCAAAAACTGAACAGTTGGCTCGAGGTAATATGAAGTAATGGTGAGACATACACCTAATTGCTTGAATTATTAGTTAGCAGAGTCTTCGCATGGGGACTTGCTGATCAGTCTCGACAATTTCCACTCAAAAGTAATTTGCTACAGGTCGAAGTAGGATCTACTCGGCTTAAAACAATTGACTTGGAAAAAAAAAGAAGGATCAAGTAATAGGTCAGATGGATCCAACCAGAGAGTGGAAGTAGAATCCGTCGATATGGTCAAGGTCCAAAGGATGATTGATTTAGCCATGAAAAAAGGGGTCGAAGTTCCTAAAATTCATCCATCCATATCCAACTTATGTGGAAAAATTCGAATATCCTAAAGGCTTTAAGATCCTAGATTTCAGCCTTTTTGCTAGAGAATTGTCCTTGTCCTCGTTAGAACATGTGGCCCAGTTCACTGCGTAATGCGGAGATGTTAATAGTGATTTCCATAAACTGTGACTGTTCAACTTTTCGTTGATGGGCTTAACATTCACATGGTATATCAACATCCCACCAAATTCCATCCAAAGTTGGGAGGAGCTAGTCAAGAAATTTCACGAACAATTTTATCGGTTGGGGATGGAAATGTCAGTTTCTTCATTGGCTAGGATGGCTCAAGCATCTGATGAGTCACCAATGGACTATCTTACAAGGTTTAAATCGGCCAGGAATTGGTGCCGAGTACCTCTACCCGAAGTCGAATTTGTTAGGCTTGCTCTAAATGGGCTAGACGTAGAGTACAAAAAGAAATTTTTGAGGGCAAACTTCCGAGGTATGTACGAATTAGCCCAACATGTTAAGCAATATGATTATTTGCTCTGAGAGGAAAAGATCTCGAAGTCCCCATCCCGAGGAACGATTTACAAAAATCCTACGGTCAGCTATGCATCAGCCGAAGGCGAAGATTCCCAATATGTCAGTATGGATGTGACTGAGATAGTAATAGATAAACCATATGTCTGCAAGGCATTGACTCAAATTAATTATAAGGATGCCAAAACCCGCTCACCCACTGAAGAGATGGTAAAAACATCAAAAGTTTACACTTTTGATATCACCAAGGTGATGTAATTTTCGACCAGTTGTTGTTAGCAAAGATTATCAAACTTCGGCTAGGACATAACATTCCTAAGGCCGAAGAGCTTAAAGGAAAGATGTATTGCAAGTACCATAACTCGACTAAGCATACCACAAACAATTGCGTCGTGTTCTGTGATGATATTCAAAGCTAGATTGATAAAGGCAAGCTAAAGTTTCCTGAAAAACAAATGACGATCGACGTTGATCCATTCCCTTCAGCAACAGTTGGCATGGTAGACGCCCATTTGCCCAAGAGCAAAGGGAAAGGGAAGGCCGAGTTTGTCCCAATACAACACGTCCCAAAGAAAAACTCTCAGCCACGACTCAAAAGGGAAGGCCGTAGTTGAATTTATGTCAGACTCTAGTGTAGAAGAAATTGACAGGCCGATGGTTTTGGGCAATTGGGCAGCAATTGTAAGTCGCGAGTCATATTAACCAAACCGAAGGAGAAACAGCCTCAGACTCTAACACCACGGCAACCATCCAAGGCCGCGGTGACACCTCCAAAGGAACTTAGCGAAGGCCAGAGCCAGAAAGTGTTCGATAGGCTCGGTCCTCAGGAACGGACAGACGGCCCTACCTCGGCCAGACGACGTCTTGATTTCGAAGTGCCATTTTATAACGAGGATTATTACTCGCGTAATTCCAGCAGTTCAAGTTCATCGGCGAATCAAAAAACCTTCAAGGCGCCTGAGCCACGCGACCAACGTTGGTA